AGGATTTTCTGACGATTGTTGTCAATATTTGAACATGTGTTGACTATTTCTTATCTATCTTCATAAGCCCGCCCGTAGGAGGACACGCCCGACCTAAGCCCGGACCCCTCGCGCTGCGAGAAAATCACGACGGGAGGCTTCCCGCTACTTTTTCGGCCCCCAGGGGGGGGCCCAAAGAGCAGCCGGGGCCGGGAGCGGCCAGCGTCGCGAACGTCGAACACGGGAAAGAGAGAGATGGGAGACCGGCTCCTGGAAAGGGGTCCAGACCTCTGGGGGTCGACGCTGCGAAGGAGCCACGACGTTCAGAGCCCCGAATCATCAGGGGTAAGTCGGGTCAGGGATAACTCGGGTTCCTTTTTCGGGAATCCAAACCCGAGTTACCCCGGACCCGAGTTACCCCGGATAACTCGGGCGTCCAGAGCCCCGAATCATCAGGGGTAACTCGGGTCAGGGATAACTCGGGTTCCTTTTTTCGGGAATCCAAACCCGAGTTACCCCGGACCCGAGTTACCCCGGATAACTCGGGCGCCCAAGACGTCGGGGGTCCGGGTACGTCGTTCCAGAGCGTGCCGGACGTCGCTCCCAGGGCTCTCCCGAGCGCTCTGGGAGCGGCCGCGGCGGCGCCCGACGCGCCCTCCCCGCGGCCGCTGGGTCTCGGAGAGCCTCGGCCTGTCCCGGTCCGATGCCGTCCCTGCCGCGGTTGCCTCTGTGGTCAGGAGTCTCGTGGTGTCGGGGCGGGTTTGGGCTCCTGCCTGGCCCTGCTGGGGTCTCTCGGGCATGCGGTGGACCCGCGCAGGCTTTTGCCGACCGATCCCTCGCCTCCTCCTCCTCCTCCTCCTCCTCCTCCTCCTCCTCCTCCTCCTTCTCACCGTTCTAAAAGTCTGTCATGTCCGTCAGTCCGTCCGTCCATCTATCCATCCATCCATCCATCCATCCATCACTGTTCCTTTTTTAATAAATGCTCCCTGTCGCACCCCGAGGCCAGTTTTTAGGGCGGGCCGGGCGTTTCGCCTGAGACTTCCTCACCATTAATGATTCAGAAGCTCAAGAATTGACAACAATTTCGCAGATGGAGGGCGGGTCGTTTTCAATATGTGACTCTCGCGTTAGCGCGGCGCACATGTGTTTTAAACATTTGCAAGAGCTTCACAGATGGAGGGCGGGTCGTTTTTAAAATGTGGCTTTCGCCTCAGCGTGGCGCACAGTCGTTTTAAAACTTTGAGCTTCACGGATTGAGGGCGGATCGTTTTCAAAATGTGGCTCTCGCTTTAGCGCGGCGCGTATTAATTTTTGTATAACAAACATGTGTTAGAGTTTCACTGGATCCCATCAGTAACGTACCAGAAGCGGTGTTTTGGAAGGATTCCAGATTACGCGGGTGCAACAATTTCGTTGGTTCATTGTGTGGAAGTCCTAGGAGTAGCGTTCGGGCGCGATTCAGGATCGTCAAGACGCAACGGTCAGGTTGATCTTTGGCGTTGGACTCCTGAGAACGATGATTTGGCATGCTTCAGGGTCTTCAAACGGGTTTCTTCCAACGGGGCAGTTCCACCAATGGAAATGAACCGTTGTAGGGGCTATAAAGAGGGAGCTTGGAAGGAAGGTTCACTCCATCATCGTTGATGACTCTTGGGTTTACACGGGTCCTCCTCCTCCTCCTCTTCCTCCTACTCTCCCTCTTCCATTCCTCGTCCTCACAAGTAACTCCTCCCTGACGCGCCCCGAGGCCGGTCGAAAGGGCGGGCCTTGCGCTTCGCCTGAGACTTCACCATTTATGACCCTGAAGCTTACACTGTGGCAACAGTTTCACAATTTGGCTCTCGCCTTGGCGCCGCGCGCACTCGTTTTGAACATTGGCAAGAGCTTCACGGATTGAGGGCTGGTGGTTTTCAAAATGTGGTTCTCGCCTTAGCGCCGCGCAGATTCGTTCTCAGTATTTGCAAGAGTTTCGCGGATTGATTGCAGTTCGTTTTGAAATTGTGACTCTCGCTTTCGCGCCGCGCACATTTGTTAAGAGTAAGTCTGGATAATGATGTTATGTCACGTTTCAGGGTCTTCAAACGGTTCTGTCCCAACGAGGCAGTTCCCTCAGTGGAGATAAATCCTTGTATAAGGCCGACGAAAAATGGAGCTTGTGGGGAGGGTTTATCCCAACATTGTTGATGAGTATTTGCACTGGTCCTCCTCCTCCTCCTCCTCCTCCTCCTCCTCCCTCCTCCTGCTCCCTCCTCCTCCCGCTCCCTCCTCCTCCCTCCCTCCTCTCCCCTCCCTCTCTCCCTCCTCCCTCCCTCCCTCTCCCTCCCTCTTCCTCCGTCCCTCCCTCTCCCTCCCTCGCGTAACCCCGCGCCCCCATCAGGACGGCCAGCTGCGGCCGTCTCAGCCGCTGCAGCGGCAGCCGTCGAAGCCCCTGAGGCGGCAGGCGACGAAGCCGCGGGAGACGTCGGAGCGGCCTCGCCGCCCCGCCGGGCTCCGCCCGCGGCTCCCGCTCCCCGCCGCGCTCCCGCTCCCCGCCCTCCGCCTCCCGCCTTCGGCCCTTTTCGGCCCCGCGGCCCCACGCCCCGCCTCGCGCCGCGAGGCGCCCGCTCCGAGGAGGAGGAGGAGGAGGGAGGAGGAGGGAGGAGGAGGGAGGAGGAGGGAGGAGGAGGGAGGAGGAGGGAGGAGGAGGGAGGAGGAGGGAGGAGGGAGGAGGAGGAGGAGGAGGAGGAGGAGGAGGAGGAGGAGGAGGGAGGAGGAGGAGGAGGAGGAGGAGGAGCGCAGCACGTGCCGTGCTCGAGACCCCCGCGCCGAGACGCGGCGCGTCGCGCGCGCTCCCCGCGCCGCGTCGGACGCCGCGTGGCGTGCTGCGTCGCGCCGGTGTGGTGCTCCGCCTCTCGCCTGCCGCGCGCGTGCCGGGTGCCTGCGCACGGGCGGGGCAGCCGAGCTGCGCTGCGGCCCTCCCCCCCCCCCCCCTCGCTTCCTTGGGGGGGGTGCGTGCCGCGGGGGCGGGGCCTCGCGCGGCGCGGCGCCGCCTCGCCTCGGGCTCTTCGGCGCTTCCTCCTCCTCTCTCTCTCTCTCTCTCCTGCTTCCCCCTCCGCCTCCCCCCTTATCACCGTCTCTTCTCTTCGTTTCCTGTCTTCTCTCGGCTTCCCTTACATGATAGTAGCTGTTCTTCTCTTCTCTTCTCTTCTCTTCTCTTCTCTTCTCTTCTCTTCTCTTCTCTTCTCTTCTCTTCTCTTCTCTTCTCTCCCTCCTCCTCTTCTCTTCCGCCGCCCCCTCCTGGTTTTCCTCCCCCGTCTTGTCCACGCGGCTCATTTGGCCCAGCGGCAAGTGCGGCTTGCTAGGTTTTCGCCTTGGTCGATGCTGCTCAGTCTTTCTCTCCTTCTCTTTCTCTCTCTCTCTCTCGAGGGACGCGCTAGAGCCGTGGCGCACTACACGCCGAACCTAGAAGGCTCCCCTCCTCTCGCCATCTTCGCTCTCCTCCTTCCCTTCCCCCGCTGCCCTTCGCCCCCTCATCCCTCTTCATCGCTACCCTTGGATATGTCCTGCTTCGTGCAGTCGCTCTCGAGTGGCTGAGAGCCGACTCCTCTTGCACATTTTTAGCCGCCCCAGTCAGGCTTCAGATGCATCCCAGACGACGATGTCAAAAAGGCTCTCGTCCTCAGCCTCGTCGTTTTTCTCTCCAGTTGCTGCCTGCTGCCACGCAGACGCGTTGCCAGACACGCATGGCTTGGTGATCTTTTTTTATTCTTTGTGTCGCCGATCGGCGCAGGCCCTCGCACCCCTCCCTCCCCTCACATGGAGTAGATCTTGGCTGTTTTTGGCGCCCGTTGAGAGTAGGTGGAGCCCCTCCGCCTTGGGACGAACTGCTGCAAACAGTCGCATTTAGCAGAGGTCTGGAGCCAGGCCCCCCCCCCCTCCCCCCCCTTCCGCCCAATGTCGAAACGCCGAATGTCGAAACGCCGAATAAGAAAGAGGGCGGTGCAGCGCGCGAGCGGGAGCTGGTTGTCTGAAGCCGGAGAGGATGCTGAAGGCATCCGGGAGTTCTCTACTCTACTTTCCCTCTGCTCACGCACCGTTTGGTGCAAGGCTTGACCTGAACTGACCTGACCTCACTTGTCTGGCGCACCGTGCACCGTGCCTTCGCGGAGCTCGTCCTCTCCCTGCCCCCGCAGCAGTCTGCGCCGGGCGCCGGCGCGGCGCAGGCAGCGGCAGGGGACCCCGCCGCAGGAGAGCCGGGCGCGCGCGGGTCCGCCGACTGCGCCGTGCACTGCCCCCAAATTCATCATTTTTTTTCGGGATGGAGGCGACAAGTACGGTTCCACAGATCCGACGCTCCAACAAAGTTGGAGCGGGCGGTCTCTGGCCGTTTTCGGCCTCCGGGGGCCCTCGAGCGTCAGAAGACGGCCCAGGACGAAACACGGGCCCGAGGGAGAGTTAGAAAGCAGCTCAGGACGAAACACCGGCCCCAGCCTCGGCGATCGCCAGGCCCCTGGAGCGTCAGAGAACAGCTCAGGACGAGACACCGGCCCCAGGGAAGTGGTCCGGACCTCTGGGGCCCGTGTATCCAAAAAAATGGGAGCAGTCGGATGTCTGGGGTTCCTGCGACACACACCGCTCGAGGCGGCTCACGGGCCAGAGTGCTGACGGTTCGGGTGCACGCTGCGTTGATGCGTCTTTGCGCCGTGCACGGCTGTCGAGCTACCGCTTGATGCCAGCCTGCTTTGCAGACCTGGCGAGCCACCCTCAGGCGCGCCAGTTCTAGGAGACTTGTTTCCTTGAATTCAGAAACGACGCCCTCAACACAGCCTCTACGTGTGCTGATACAGCATTTGAAGCAAGTGTTTACCGACGCTGGATAAACTTGGGCAAGATCCAGTGGGAAGAGGTGTTGGGAACACTCGACCGAACGACGCATCGCAGTCGCGTTGGCAGAGCATCTTCGACAAGCTGATGTCGGCCACAGCGATGCAGGCGCAGCACATCTGACCTGACGCGATGGCCACGACCTCGCAGGACATGACGAGACCACTTCAGAAGCTGCTCGCGCTGTCTGAGCCTTGCGCTAGCCTTTCAGAGAAGGATGCTTGGCGACTGCTTCAGGCCCGGGGGCGGGGATCCAGCGCATCCGGAACGTCATCAGCGTCGCCGAAGCCCAGTCGCCCGCCATGGGGAATGCCGCGAGGCTGCCCGAGCGGGCCGCGGAGGGGCCCACTGCGTCTGCACAGCCAGCCTGGCTCTTGCCCTGTGGCGAGGTCCCCCGCGTGAGTGTCCCCTGACCTCGAGGCGGCAGCATCACAACGGAAGACAAGAGCAAGGACTGTCCACTCAAGGGCGCGCGATGGCGGCGGCAGCAGCAGAGGCGGCTGCCGACCTTCTCTGTCGATGATCCTCAGGACACGTTCTAGCCCTGGCGTGTGTTGAGCCAGTTCGGCTCCGCCGGTAGCGCTTGCAGCCCGCGTCCGCCTTCGTCGCGCCTCCTGCGTCGTATTGAAGGGCCTCGGTGGACAAGCACACGTTGGAGCTAACACGCGTTCTGAGGATCATCGATCTCCCTGCGAGGGATCGGACGAGCACCTTACGGTAGGTTCGTGTGGTGTCGACTCGGCGGCAGGCGGTGACCCCGCCGCGGGCGTTCAACGTTGAACGCCGCCGGCGACCCGAATCGGTCGATGTAGGAAGATCTGACGTTCTGGAAGCTGCCGCTCGTGCCAGGTTGCACGATCCCCGCGGTGTCAGAAATCTTCGCCGAGGTGTGCACGACACGAGCGCGCCGTACGTGATTGTGGATGCGGAAAGCTCCCGCCTGGGCGTATCCTTGCTGTGCGCGCAGGCGCAGACTTCGCGGGCGAAGAACAGTCTGACAAAATCTGTTGCGCCGTCGGGGACGCTCGCCCCCGCGCGGCTGCAAAGTTTGTATCCTAACGGTGCCAAGTAGGGACGTCGAGTTATGATATTCCAACCTGCTTGAGGCTTGATCACCAGAATGAAGTTCGAGCACAACGACGCTACCGAATCTGGAGGTTTTTCGCGTGTCCGGCCCTGAGAGGCGATACTCGTCCGACGTTGCTTCGATGCTCTCCTGACTGCTCGAAGCTGTCTCCGGGACGTGGTAGTCTCAAGTGCGATGGGAGCAGCATGAACGTATGGAGATTTGGACTCTGCAGTCGCACGGGGGGCGGGCGTCCCCGACGGCGGAGGCAGTTCTTTCATGCCGTTCGTCGCCCCCTAAGAGAGACTCCCGGCCCGCTGCCGCCACGCGCGAGCGCAGGGGCAGCCGGTGACTGCCTCGGCAGAGTCGCGGGATTGCGGCCTGCGCCCCGCCTCGGAACAGTGCCGAAGCGTTCTGATCTGTCTTTCTCCATCTACCCGTCGGTCCTTGAGAGCAGGTGTTCTTGGAGTCCCAGGTTCCAATCTACTTGAAGCGCCTCCCTACTGGAAGAGTCCAGTGGTGGTGCACTCTTCCCTCCTCCTCAGGAGGCGGGCCGAGAGCCCAACTTGCCTCCAAGGCCTTCCTACCTCATGTTTCTATCTGCTTCTTCCGACCGATGGGCAGGCTCACCAAAGTTTGTTCTAAACGCTTGCTGTAGTTCGTACAACCAGACCGAGGTATCAGGTCGAGGTCGGTTCGGGAAAGGTACCCACATGACCTTCGTGTTTGTTGGATATGTGTTGTGCATCCTGGTGGAGGGTACCCTCGGATGTTTGGTGTGCTTTGGCCTGCGGAGGGTCTGATGCTCTTCAGGCATGTTCTTCTGTCCTAGGCTCGACTGTACGACCTGTTATCAGAGCAGTTCTGGCTGAAGGGTCTGGTTTTGATACGCCGATGTAATGTTATGAGAGCGTTGTTGTGCTGTCCCTAATGGCTTCGCCCGTTGCCGCCGCCCCCCCCCCTCTACCAGAGCGGAATATCTCTCAGTGCCGTGTCGGGGTGGGTGTCTGGGCGCCGTTCTGCGGGGACGCCTGGGGCATCGTGCGGGGACGGACGGGAATCGGCAGCACACATTGACATGTCGGGGCCATGCTCGACCACTCGTTGGAGCAGCCCCCCCGTGCCCCTCGTGCGGAGGAGGAGGAGGAGGAGGAGGAGGAGGAGGAGGAGGAGGAGGAGGAGGAGAAGCAGGAGGAGGCAGGAGGAGGAGGAGGAGGAGGGAGGAGCAGGAGCAGGAGCAGGGGAGGAGCAGGAGCAGGAGCAGGAGCAGGAGCAGAGCAGCAGGAGCAGGAGCAGGAGCAGGAGGCGGAGGAGGAGGGAGGAGGAGGAGGAGGAGAGGAGGAGAGGAGGAGCCCCCTCGCGCCCCCCCGTGCCCCTCGCGCCCCCCCTTTTTGCACTTTTGGAGCTTCCCCCTCGTGCTGGAGGTCTCCGAAGGGCTTAGGCGACCCGTCCTCCTCTCCTTCCTCGTCCCCTCTCCTCCCTCCTCCTCCCTCCTCCCTCCTCCCTCCTCCCTCCCTCCTCCCTCCTCCTCACCTCCGCCTCCTCCTCCTCCTCCTCCTCCTCCTCCTCCTCCTCCTCCTCCTCCCCCTCCGTGCCCTCCCCTCCTCGGGTCGCCTACGGCCCCTGGGAAACCGTTCACGCAGGCGGCCATCTTGGACCACATCGCGCGCGGCTGGGACTGTCTCTGCGATCCCTGCATCCCTCCCTAGTTTACGGGACTCGCGGCTGCGGGCCCACCGCCGAGCTGTTTTCAGGAAGCGGCGGGGCGGGGTGGGCTGGGCTGGGATGTGTGGGGGGGGTGGGGGTTGGGGGTGTGGGGAGGTGGGGGGACGAAACACTCCCCCCCCAATACGTGCCTCATAGCAGGCAATGGTTGTTTATCTGCTCTGGAGAGGGGGGGGGGCGTCTTCTTCTTGGGTTTTCAAGGATCGGCGGGGGGGAGGCTTGGGAGGGGGGTGCGAAACAAGCTCCCCCCCCCCACCCACCAATCGCGTGCCCCAGTGCAGACAATTCTCGTGTATCTACACTGGGGCGGGAGGGGGTGGCGCTGCCTTGGGGCAGCCTCCGCGAGGTGGGGGTGTGGGCTCGTAGCCTCGGCGGCGCGACGTCATTGTAACTTTTGCACCTGATGGTGGCTTCGTGGGCGCGAGCTGATGGTGGGATCGCGACCGCGGGGGCGCGACGTCGGCGCATGCTGTGCGAAGGATGCCGGCCCAGGGGAGCGACAGCCCCCGGCGCCATGTGCGCAGGGCTCCAGTTGCGGGAGTGCGACCCTGGCGCAATTCGTACAAAGGATTCGGTTTTCAGTACCGTCTTACCGACCCCCATCCCCATCCCCATCCCCTTCGACACCCCCAATAAGTTACCACCCCAGTTGGGGATACACCCCTCGAAACCCGAAGGGAACGGCCTATATCCCCATCTAGGGGGGTAAATCGGCCAGCGGGGCCCAGGCCACGCCGCTGGGGATGGGGATCGGTTAAACGATACTCAGGTTTCCGTGGACGCGGAGCCGGAAACATTTGCAAAACGGCCTCTGGCCTCGGAGGCGCGGGTCTTCGTGACCTGCGAAGGGTCACGGCCTCGGGGGCGCGGGTCTCAAGCAGTTGAGTGTGTCCTGGCACCCCCAGCCAGGGAATTCTGAGAACCCCCAGGGGGGAAGGTAAGAGGCTGGCTTTCAGTTCCCCCCCCTCGCGCGGGCCTCAGAGATTTACAGTAGGAAGCAGAACGTAGTATTCTAACGCTGGAAACTGGAAACTGGCACTGGCGTAGGAAACAGGACACCTCCGCCACGCAACCTGTTGGCCCCACAAGGGGGCGGGCGGAGTGGAATATGGCTTGTTCTCAGAACATGTCGTGGTAGGCCTACAGGAATGCCAGGAAGGTCGGTCCCTGCTCAACTTCCCCTTCACACCTGCCCCGCTCCCAGTGTTCCATCCCCCCCACTCCCCCATCCCTCATGCCCTCCATCCTCTCCGCTTCCGCCGCGTCCTCCCCCGTCTCTGCGCTCGTGTTGGCCTGCGTCCTCCTCCGATGCCCCTATAGGATTTCGGGGCAGGGGCATGCAGCTGTCTCTCGGCTGCTCCTCGGATGGCTTCGTGGATGCGTGGCACTCGGTGGCTTCACGCCCTTGGCACGCTCGGGCTGCTGTGCGCCTCGCCTTTCACACCCTCCTTGCCGCTTCGGGCGGCGGCACCGCCTCGCGGCTGCTCTTCCTGGCCCTCGCTGGGCGCTGTGCGGTGTCGTGCGGGTGTGCCGTGTGCAGTGTGCGTGCGCAGTGTGCGTGCGTGGGGTGCGTGCGCGGTGCGCGCGGGGTATGCCGTGCGTGGCCGCGTGCGGCCGGCCGCCTGGGCGCCGGGGCGGGGCAGGAAGTTCTGGGCGCTCTCCTCACCGGTGGTGTGCCTGGTGCACCAGGCGGCGGGTTCTTTCGTGGGCCGATCGCGGCATTCCTGCGCGCCAGTGGCTGGTCGAGGGTACCAGCTGGTGCGGAGGTGCGGGCCGCTTGCAGCGGCCCTTCGCGCAGTCCTCCTCCCCTTCCTCCCTTCTATTCCTCACGCTCCCTCGCTCCGTCCTCCCCTCCTCCCCCTTCCCCATCAGCATTCTGCTTATCATTGCGCTGCTTCTCCTCCTACCTCCTCCTCCGCATCCGCGGCCTCGCCCAATCCCTGATCTCCCTTGTCCTGATGATCTGTGTGCTCGAGTGCTCCTGTGCCGTCCTCCTGTCCTCGCTGCTGTTTTTCCTCCCGCTGCCCATGATGCCGGCGGTGGCATTGCTGAGGCTCTCTCCGTAGCTGATAATACGCATGTCTATGTTTCTGCGTATGCCGCATTCGGTTATTGCTGCTGCAGCTCGTCGTTGTCCTCCTCCGCTTCCTCCCATCATCACTTTTACCCAGCAGTGGGGGAGGGGTGCCTTCAAGACAGACGTACAGTGGAGCGGAGTGAAAGACAGAGGAAGACGCAGGAAGCTGCGACGCTCCCGTGAGAGGATACCGTCTTGCCGCCCTGGTGGGCGTCGCATCCTATCGCCCAGGGCCAGCGGCGGGGGAGCACCAATTCTGACACGCGGGCCATCACGCCTGCAGATCTGGAGGCAGTTTTCCCTTGTGACTGGACGGATAAGGGCAAACCTGTTCCTGGTTCTAAGAACATGAGAAACTGGACTGATAAGGGCTCGCTTCCCGAAGCCCGTGGCCCCACGGGTGCATGCCCTTCCCAGCTTGTGCGGCCTCTCTGTCGTACGAGGCTCCTCCTGCTCCTCCTGCCCCTCCTCCCCCTCGCCATCTTCGTGGTCGTCCTCCTCATCTTCCTCCTCCTGCTTTCCTCGTCCTCGTCCGCCTCTCCCTCCTCCTCCTCCTCGCCCTCGCCACCCTTCCCCTCCTCCTCCTCGCCCTGCCTGTATATCTCCTCCTCCTCCTCCTCCTCCTCCTCCTCCTTGGTCCTGTAATCCTACTTGTCACGTTTCTTGGCGGCGCGTGCGTGCGTCGAGGACAGCCTCCCGCGGCGCGCCAGCAGGGACAGCTCAGGCGGGCGCCGCCGTCTGCAAGAGGGGGGGCGCTAATTGGGATCAGGAGCACGCCCGGCTCAGAGGGGGCCCGGGTTTCCTCTTGTGCTCTCTTCGGGGGAGGGGGAAATAATC